CGACTAACTTTGCTCCAAAAATAGCGTAGTTTTGGTCCTCTATAAAAGTCCTTTTTTTTTTGCTTTTTTTTTCATTTTTATACTTTGCTTCCTCTTTCTAAGAAAAATCAATCCCTCTATTTCTCTCTTTAGATGATTTTTTTGCCATCATTGTTGTCAAGTAGCTCAAAAATCGAAAAAACTCCACCGCCTCCTTAAATTGCCTATTGGCCGACCTTCATTAATGCCCAAATTTCACCACGAGCTTCCTCTTGGCTTCTATTTTTTGTGGTGTCGTTAGTTTTCCATGAAAACATCTTAAACTCTCTAGATTGACTTTTGAAGCTATGAATCCTAATTCAAGGATATTACCTCTTGCTACTTTTATTATCGCTATTCCAAGGTATGTTGTTCTCCTTCTTGTTAGCTATCTCTTCACCGAATTCAGGGATTCGAAAGTTTTTATAAAAAGGCCTAATTGAAACCCTCGAGACTCTTTTTTTTTTTAATTTTTTCTTGTTTTCAATTTTTTTTTTGTTTTTGACTTGGTTTGTTTTTTTGCTTGGATTTTATTGATGTACCTTATTGGCAATGGGTATAATTTTTGACAAAAAGTGGATGATAGTGGCAATGTGATATGTGCTCTGTGGTGATGGTTTTTACTTATAGCTATGTTTTGGTTTGGTGGGTCTTGTTTGTATGTGTTTGTTGTGCACTATCTTTGTTCTAGGATGGTAGGTTTGCAAGTGATGTCGGGTCTGGAGAAGGATTCAGTTGCTTTCTATGTGTGGCTATGTATTTTTGTTGAGTTTGATTTGGTTTTGGGTGTTGGTTGGACAATGGTAATGGCAATGGTGATTTGAGAAAGTAATTTTAGGGCTTTAGTTGTTAGTGATGGCAATGGTGATATGTGGTGTTGTGATAGAGGTGATAAGTGGTGAAGAGGGTGATCGAAAATTTTGGTGGTGACTTGATTGCTTGTTGTAATTGTTTTTCCTTTGCACGTGTGCAATTAGGGTTCAAGAGAAATCCAAGTGATGTTGGTTCAGTTGATGAGCTTTGATAGTGAAATAGTAGTTGTTGAAAATTTTAGAGATAGCTTAATTGCTATTTATTAGGGTGGTGTTGGTTTCTCAGCAAATGGTGAAGAAAGTGGTTTTGGTTGATTGCTTTTTTTAGGTTCATTCTATTTTTTGTGTAATTTCTTGACTATTTCTCTATTTTTTTTGTCTATGTGTTTTATTCTAATTGCTGTGTGTTTTTCTTTGTGAATTTAGGTCTATTTATAATACAAGCTGAAGGAATTTCATATCAACTCAAAGTTAAGATTAACAACTTTAAATTTTCTTGGCTTATAAACAAGCCAACTTTCGATTTTTTTTTTTCATTTTTTTTTAATTTTGAAATAATCAACTATTTTAAGAAGATAATTAAAATTAAGGATTAAAGATAAGATGACAAACCAAATAAAATAAATAAACATAAATTAAAATAAAATAAAAATAAAAATAAGTAGAACAAAATAATAAATAAGATAAATACAAATAAAAGATAAATCATGAAATAAAAAAAAAAAATAAATAATAAAAGTAAATAAAAAATTATTGGACTTGAACCAAATTCATCTCGGTTTGGATCTTTGGGTCGAAAAATTAAATTGGGCTCAATTAACTTAGACTTCGGACTAAACGAGGTGCCAACGTTTTCTGGTAACTCTGTTTTTTAGTGTTGCTTTGGAGTTTTCGTTTCTTACATTTCAGTTCGTCAATGGGTGAGTCGAGCCATAAGTATTCGGATTTGAGATCTTATAAGCTTATTACAACTAGTTATCCATTCAAGACACTACCTTCACTGTCGCAACCTCCATTGCTGCCTGAAAACGGCCACCATCGAACCGTCGTTACCAGTAATTTAGTTTGAAAATCACCAAACGGCTCACACTACCATTGTCAAAATCAAAAACACAAACTAGCAGGCACAACATAACCCAAAATCAACATCCACAATTGGCAAAGAAAAAAAAATAGATCTCCAACAACCACCCTCTATTCGTCACACCTATACTCCATTTACACACTGCCGGTATTCCATTATTTTCAATACCTCACCACTGTCACAACCACTTCACCACCATCATATCACCACCACCTCTTTAGCAAAAAAAAAAAAAAAACTACAGGAAAACAAATATCCTCATTCCCCATAGGGAAGCCACTCATACAGTAACAAAAATCCACACAAATAATAAAATAAAAAATTAAAAAAACAGAGGTGAGAGAAGCTCTCTCTTTTGGATTTCAGATCAAAGGTGTCTTAGGGAGATTTGGGAACTCAAATTTGGAGAGGAGGGAGACCGAAGGTCACAGCTGAACATATTAGGAGTTGAGGTTGGCATGGGCAACGGAGTTCGAGATTTCTTGGTGCTTTGGCCATTGCTTTAATTGTAGATCTAAGGTTTTAGAGGCAGAGTGAAGAAATTCTGAGTTTGGATCTGAAATGAAGAGGTTGATATGAGTCTTTGGTGAAAATTTGGATGGACACCGACATCGATAAGCCACGACCGATGACGAGGGTGTGGTGGATGGTGTAGCAAGGATACTAGGGTTCTAGGAAGGCTTGTAGCTTCCAGTCGGCCTTTAAAATTGATCTAGATAAAGGGGAGAGGAAATGGGTGCTAAAAGGAGAAACAAATATGTGAAAATTGAAAAAAAAAATGTTTTGATTTTTTTTTTTGTATGGTAGCATGAGACGTGTTCTGATTAGGAAGGAAAGATTCGCTCTTCATCCCACTTTCGACCCGCGATCTGTGTCTGGGACTTGACTTTGACTCAATAACAGAGTACTTTAATTGTTTAGATGTATGTAGAACTAATCACTCACGTTATTTCTTTACATGTGTAAGTCACAACTGCAACAAAACCTTTATTTGAACATATTTAAAAATTTCAAATCTAAATTAAATTAAATTAAAAATAATATTATTAATTGAAAAAATATGTAAACGTTAGATCTTTAAGGTTTTAGCCTAATTTTAATGGTCTAGGGTTTACGATGGAGACGAAAAAGAGAAGAAAAGAAGATAAAAAAAAAGTTATATGAAAGAATTAAAATATAATTTAATAAAAATTAATTAAATAATTTTATTTAAATATATTTTATAATTAAAAAATTGGACGTATAGAGTAATTTTTTGAGTACAAATAGAGGTTCCTGTCAGATAGAACTTCTAGCATCATGGAAGATTAATAAATTGAGGCCCGACGAATTTCACAATATATACTCACGTGATTGTGGAAGAGCGCCAACAATTCAAACACCAAGCGTCTTCCAACACTTTTGTCTTGCATGTGCCCGGCTCAATGAAAGATTAACATTTATGGACCGAAAAGATTGCTATATATATATATATATATAACACATAAATTGCAAGAGCAACATTAAAACAAAAGTATAGATATTAGGTGTTCGAATGTAATTAGATGTGTGAAATGCATAGTTTCTATTTTAGCAATAATGAAATTTAAATATAGGTTTTTTTTTATGAAATTATAAATAAAATAAAAGTTATAATTATAATTAAGTATCATATCTAAATATAAAAAATTATTAAATAATCAAATAAACAAATCAACTAATAAATTAAAAAAATTTAACATAAAATTAAATTAAACTCGTATATATAACAAGACTTGAACTTAATACCTAAATATTCTAAAACTTTTTTACCACCAAGATCAAGATGATACTTAAAAACTTTGAATAGTTACAATTGTAACATCAGTAATATTAAAGTTCACCTTTGGGCCTTCAACCTTGGCGTTCTGTCGTACTAGAAGAGGGTAAGGGGTAATGGATAGGGTCAAAATTTGTGTGGATTGTTAGTAGGATATTAAATTTTAATTTTAATGAATAGATTCAAATTTCTGATAATTGTAAATAGAAAAAAAATAGGCAATGTCAAGCCTTGACTGAAGAAGTCTTCAACTGTTCTATTCTACTCTATGCCATAGTACTTATACTACTCTAAGCCTCACTCATGGGTGGAGCCGGCATCAATGAGCGGCAGGCGTCTCCGTGACCCAACTCCTCAATGTTGACTCCATAATTCCTGTCAGTGGACCCATAGCCCGAGCTATCTATCAAGGGACAAATTGATTATTTTTTTTCCCTAAAGTGCATTTTCACCTTCAAACTTATAATATATAATATAAATGGACATATATATATATATATAGCCAAAATTTTAAAATTAATTAGTAATACAATAAATTCTATTGTAATAACAAATAATTGCTTAAAACGCTTAACTTGAGCTATTTCGACGTCTTGTACCAAAAGAAAATTGTAAATTTTAAAATATGGTTGGATGATAAAAAGTGAAAAAAATTAAAATTAAAACCACCATTTTTACCTTTAAAGTTGAAAAATGAAAACGAACCATTCAAGATGAAAATCTCAAATTGGGACCTTCCATTTAATTTATCTCAATTTTACCATAAAGAAAATGAGAAATAAATAAAATTCAAGAAGAGAAAAATTAAAAGCAGACTTTGATACTCAAATTGAGCTAAAATTTAAAACACAAAGAGGAAATTAGATTCAACCTAAACTTGCAAAAATGTCATTTAATTTGATCAAATTTGCATTTATGAACCCACCCACTTTTGTTATCCCAATAATTTTGGTCAGGAAACATAAAGGAGAATGAGATCATGTGTGCTTATATTCATTAAACAGTGAACATCAATTTTTTTTTTTTAATTTGAATGATTAATCAAACAAATCATTCATTTTGGCTGCAACAGCCTTTCTTCTTGTTTATCTAGCCTTCTCATAAATTTGTACTTCTATCATTCAGCTTTTGATTTTCTGACCCTATATATAAATGCATCACATTGGCCAACCTCACCAAGATCACAAGCTAGCCAAAGCAACAAACATAAGTGTTTCTTATCGAAAGCAAATTTCAAAGTATATATACTGCATTTCTCTTTTCTTTGTTTTTGTTCTTTCTTACAGGGATGGAGGGTAGTTACTCCAAACAGAAGTTTTTGTTAGTGTTTGTTTTGTTGAACATGGCTGCCACATTGGTAAAAGGTCAAGGCACCCGTGTTGGGTTCTATTCAAGCTCATGTCCTTTAGCTGAATCCATTATTAGTTCTACAGTTGAATCTCATTTGCAATCTGATCCTTCAGTTGGTCCTGCCATACTGAGGATGCACTTCCATGACTGCTTTGTCCATGGCTGCGATGCTTCTATCCTCCTTGACGGCCCTGACTCTGAGAAACAAGCTCCTCCGAACCTTGGAGTGAGAGGATATGAAGTTATTGATGATGCCAAGGCACAACTTGAAGCGACTTGTCCTGGAGTTGTCTCATGTGCTGATATCCTTGCCCTTGCCGCCCGTGATGCTGTTGTTCTGGTAATCAACTAATCAATCAACGAGCTCGATCGGCATTGAAACAAATCTTATGTTTTTTGTTGTTGAAGTCTCTAAGCATTTTTCCTGACATCTAATGCAGGCAAAAGGACCCAAGTGGGATGTGCCTACGGGACGCAGAGATGGAAGGGTTTCCTTGGCATCAGATGTTGACAACTTACCTGGCTTCTCTGAGTCAATAGAAGAACAAAAGAGAAAGTTTGCTGCATTTGGTCTAAACACTCAGGATCTGGTCACCCTTGTTGGTAAGCCTGGTTTCTCCATTTTCCTATTGATGGACTGACTTGAATTGCCCGGCCTACTTTGTTGAATTGCTTCTCTGTTAACAGGGGCACACACCATAGGAACCACAGGGTGCCAATTTTTCAGTTACAGATTATTCAACTTCACTGATACCGGCAATCGCGCTGACCCATCAATCAACCATGCATTTGTATCTCAACTACAAAACCTCTGTCCACCAACTAGCGACGGCACGGGACGAGTTGCATTAGACACGGATAGTGTTGATACATTCGATACATCGTTCTTTGAAAATTTGAGGAATGGCCGAGGAATACTAGAGTCTGATCAAATGTTGTGGGCCGATGCTTCTACAAAATCCATTGTTCGAAGCTATTTGGGTGTTAGAAACCTGCAATCATTGAAATTCAACGTAGAATTTGGCAGGTCAATGGTAAAGATGAGCAACATTTACGTGAAAACAGGAACTAACGGTGAAATACGCAAAATTTGTTCTGCAATAAACTCAAATTAATTTCACATTGGAGTTGAATAATACTATATTGTATTAATTCTTATAAATATAGTCATTTAGCGTAAGCTGGTTAAATGTAAACATCTTGTTACGTTTGACTATTTCGAATTAATTATTCAAAGTTTAAATCTTTTTCCAATTTAAATGAAGGTTTTGATTTTGTTTTATTACATGTTATTTGGGAACGATCCACTAGCTAAAAATTTCTTAAATTTGTGTTTTTTATTTTTTTTCATAAATGAATTGAATCCACATTATGTATTGATAGTACCCTTCGTGTTGTTAAATTGTGTGAAGCATAATTACTGTAGGAATTTTATATATAATTATATTAAGCAAAGGTATTTTGTATTTTTTGCATATATTATGTTGGAAGCAGGATTTATTCAAAGCGACAAAAGATATTACTCTACCCCCGAAAAATGTGTTTTGCTCTTGCAGTAATAGTGGTAATGTTCATAAACCTTTCCCTGTGCTTTCAGCATTGTTTATTTCAGTTTCCTTATATCAATATTTTTTTTTCTTTATCTGCAGCAAAAAAGAGTTACATATAAGGAAGGGAGGAAATGTATTTCATTTAGATAGTATTTGATGAGAGATGATCTCTCTAAAAAATATAATAATTTGAACATGGTAAACTTGTCTGGTATGAGTCGGATACAACAAGGATAGCATTGTGGCAAACTTGGGAAAGGATTGAAAGAAAATTGAACACAGAAACAGGTTGGTTATCTTGGAAAATCCGATAGCTGGTGGTGGAAATAAGGCAATTAAACCCCATTTGGGGAGCTGAGGGATGTTAAAGTTAGGAAATATGTAGGGCTTGTTCCTTTAGTTGAATTAAGAAAGATCTACAATTTCAAAAGTCTAGAAGTACATAGAATTCATCTCTCTCTCTCTCTCTATATATATATATATATATATATATCTTTTCATTTGTTTATAGTCTACCATTTTAAACATTTGCATTTAGCAGTTTTGATATGTACTCACTTAGAATATAAGATAACAACAAATCTAATAATAACACCATTTTAATATTTATGTTATGTGTATGTTCAAGCAGGAAATATGTAATTAGATTTCAGGGTGTGAGTTCCGGGGATTGGACCGCTGATGTGTGATGCTTCATACTCTAGCAATGGCCCCAATATGTGTGATGCATCAAATTCTGGTACCTGCTATTTTAATGAAAATGACACATGAGGAGATTCCAGAAAGAAATCCGTTGCAACTATATTATTTGTTTTCGATATTATTGGTCTACTTACTGTGATCTTGCTCCTAATTCTTTGCTATAAGAAATCTAGGAAGTTTAAAAGGATGATGACCAGATACAATCTTGAAGACAAAGATGGTGAGCATTTAGAGTTGAAGGAGGGGGGCAATTATTACAAGGAAAGTAAAGATGAAAGCATTATTCATGCAGAACCGAAGCGAGTCATTGAAAACGAAGAGAAGGGGAATCTCGTATTCATAGTGGATGAAGCAGGTTTTGACATAAAAGATCTGAGAAGGGCTTCTGCAGAAGGGTTAGGTTGTGGGCTTTGGGCATTAGTTTTAAAGCAAAATTGGAAGGCATGCCAGCTGTTGTTGTAAAACGTCCGATATGTTTGAAATCATTAAGCAAAGAAGAATTCACGAAGCTGCTACAAGTAATTGCAGATCAAAAGCATCCAAATTTGCTTTCGTTACTTGGTTACTACTATTCCAAGGATGAGAAGTAATTCTTCTACAGATATGCCATGAATGGAAACCTCTTCAACTGCCTTCATGCTCAGATGGTTACCAATTACATCTTCCATTTTTCTTTTTCAAATATTTTAAAATTTGACGGTTGTAGTTATCTCCATTTGTTCAAAATTCTGAAAAAAAAAAAAAAAAAACCATACTAATGAATATGGATCAAGGAGTGTATTTCTCTCCCTGGCCCTATTGAACTAATGGTATTGTGAATCGATGGATATCGCAGGAGGGAGAGGTACCATGGAACCGATTCCTTTCAGATGGAGCTCTAGATTATTTGTTGCTCGAGGCGTGGCACGAGCCCTGGAATATCTTCACCAAAATCCCAACTCTTCCCAATGCCTAATTCCCCACGGCAACCTGAAATTGTCAAACATTCTCCTTGACGAGAATGACACGGTTCTCGTTTCCGATTATAGTCTCACTTCCCTCATTCCCCTGCCCATCACAGCTCAACGTATGGTCTCATTCAAGTCACCAGAATACCAGAACTCGAAAAGGGTTTCAAGGAAGTCCGACGTCTGGAGCTACAGTAGCATTCTTCTGGAACTATTAACAGTAAGATTCTCAGTTCACTCTGCTCCTACAGGCATCAATGGGGTGGATCTTTGTAGCTGGGCTAACCGAGCAGTTAGAGAAGAAAGGACAGCTGAGATATTTGATATGGAGATACCTGAAGCTGCTACAGATTGCTATCCGTTGCTGTGATAAGTCCCCGGATAAACGGCCTGAAATAACGGAAATTGTAAGGGAGATAGATAGCATAAACGCTGTTGAATCAGATGATGAAGATGAAGTGTCTGTAGATGGCTCATTAACAGACAAGTCTTTCTCCACAAATGCTTAGTCACTAATAGAAGCTGGCGATGGAAGAAGTTAGTGAGTCTAAGAAATAGTGGATTTTCAATCCGTTTTAATCTGGAAAAAAAAAAAATGGGTCGAACATCGACTGCGGATTCCAATCATTCAATTAGAATCGAGCTTGGAAATCTTTATTGCAATTTTTGACATTCCACTTTGTACTTATTCGGCCTTTTGGCTAACCTCAAGAATTAGTTGTTGGAACGGGAAAAGTGTATCTTATATGCCTGGTGATCTTTGTGTCCATTGTCCATTTTCAATGAACTTTAAGTTGTTCGAAACTGGCGAGTGGGTAAATTCAAAGTATTACTGGGAAAATATTGTACCTTTCAATTACCATGTAAACATGAAATAACTGGAACAATGAAGCAAATCCAACACATAGAAGAAAGCAATGAGAATAAACAGGGAAAATTCGTTTTACAAGTGGTTTTACGAAGAATAATGTTCCACATCAGAAAAACCTTGGAACAATAGTCATTTTCAGTTCCCACGATTCTCAACTGCATCTGCATAAATGTTGTAACTTGTCGAATTTAACTAATACCGAAACATCTTCACCAAGTTTATTCACGGGAAGAATTGAAAATTACTCATTACCTATCTAGGTATTAGAATAATAATCAATAGTCCCCACAAGATCAGAAGATTAAGGGCAGTTTCTCATTCATTGGCAGTCCCATCTTCTGGTTGAGCACTCCCTCCATCTACATAATGGCATGATGAATGGAATTGATTAAGCACCATTTTCCCACCAAAAAAGAGAATGTCAATGCGAAAAAGAACATTTATTGCTACGAGTTTTCTATGTCAATAACTAGGCATACCTTCTCAATCTGATGGGGCATAGGGGGACTTCCTATATCGTGTTTGTTGTTGTGTGGGCTGAAAACAAAGAGTAAAAGTAACAAAATCATAAGCATCATAAGACTACTAAATACACGTGTGAAAAGTGACTAACTCACAGAAAACAAAAATAGGAAGTAAGAACTATATGATTCATCACTATGATCCTAGCATCTAGACCATGTCGATGCGATGCTGATTCTCAGCTTTATCAAAATCAGAAAAAGCTCACGATATATTAATAAACAGATCGGAAAAATATGGGAGCTGGATGAACAGATCATTCTCAAACCCTTTTTCTCTATTTTATGAAAGTAAAGGGTTTGAAATTAAAACACAAACTGAATAAAAATTTCACTACAAGATTCTTGACACAGCTTGTATCAAAAGCCATACATTTTGCTCTCCATAGAAACCCTCAGACAGACGCTCAGCAAGTCATACAAGTCAAATTAATCATGTAGAAACATCCAAAAGCATCATGTCAATACAATACCAAAATAAAATATGTACTTAAGGTAGTTGCTGTATGTTAAAATTTAGGTATTCGTAATGCAAATGCCAGATTACAAGAGTTTTTTCACGTTGTCTTCCCTTTCCCAACATAAAGATAAAGCAAGTAAATCCAATAGCACAATTGTTTGTGAACTTTTTATCAACATGATGTTTGAAGACCTAGCCCATGCAAAACCTTGACTAAAGTAGGCCATTTTGCTCCACTAGTTAAAACGACTTAGAGGATCTACATGTTGCAATCCCTTTTGCTCCTACTGACAGGTAAAAGTTCTAGTAAAGCCTGTTCACTACCCTTTGAACCAATTAAGAGGCCAATATATGACCAAATTAAAGAGTCTGAATAAAGTAGACCAGATTGATTTGAACCAATTATGAGGCCTATGTGTGACCAAGTTAAAGAGTCTGAATAAAGTAGACTAGATTGATTTAAACTTTTGACTATAAGCAACAGACTAGCTACTCTGTTGCTATGACTAATCAGAGGAATTTACTAGTATTCTTAAAATACATATTCACAGACAAATTTCTCACATGTTATCCAACAGATCTGCTTAAATCTCATTATGCAAGAAGGGAGCATTAAAGAAAATAATTTTACAAGCATTGAAGTAATACCTGCAATTTGGGCCGAAGGGCTTCAAGTGGTCCTTTGGGCTTCTCAACACCTTGCTGTTAGTATCCAAGAAAAGATATTGGAAAACTTCAGCTTAATCTTGATTCATTAGCATTACCAAGCTAAAATAACAAAAACATAAAAAATTAAGATTGGTTGGGTGGTGGGGGTGAGGGGAATCTTTAAAGTACCTTTCCAAGTGCCCAATCAGCAGAGTCAAAGTAGGCACGTACATGGTCCTGACATCAAAATGTAAAACTTAATTAGATGAGAATCAGCACCATGCCGGAAACCAAACATTTACAATTTTCCCACAGAAATTACCTTCGAAATCAGTGGTGGTTTCTTGGGCATAATCCCTCCATATTTTTTCTTTATAGCTGCCTCCTAAAAATAGACATAAAATGATTAAGTCACCACAACTGTAGAACTCCTGAGAAAAACTTTTAATCCAATACACAAGATCTTTAATCAATCAACATTCCACAATGAAACAAGATAAGAACACAACCTCCTCTTGAGATGACAGCATGGATTTTTCAGACTCCTGTGCTACATTTCCATCTACTTGTTCTTGCTCTTTGACACCCTCCATGCCTGACATTAGTTCGTTGCAACCGCCCGACTAAAAGGAGTTAGGATAGCACACAAGTGATATGCATAAAACTTCAGAAATGCTACAATTTTACAGATCATAGGAACCATAAAAAAAACTTCACTTACTCCCATATAAAAATGAGATTGGCGATGCAGAATAAAAATATAAAATCTTGGTAAACCTGCGGGAAAATATCAGCCAAAAGGCTATGACGCAAGTACATCTCTCATTAAATGCATACTCTACCCAATACCAATTGTTAGCATAGCCAAAAAAGTATCAGGCAACTCTTAGTGAACGAGCACTTGATGAAGATTAAAGGAGTTCATTAAACAATTCATATTAAAAAAAAGATTCAAATTCAAGAAAAAAAGAAGAGAACAACTGTATTCATTCAGCATATTACTAACTTTCCAGGCTCAAAAACCAAGTATCCCTAAATATTACTTCTTGATGCATATGTGTTAGACATCAAAACCAATTATATAGTTGCAATAATAATGAAAAAACCCAAATGCCACAGATTTTACAATTCATAATACATGCCAAAAATTCGCAGTGAAAAAAGAATTAAATTGAAATCCATATATATATATATATGTATACTCTGATATAAAAAAACTAACCATTCAATTTAATTAATATGACACAAAAGAAATGAGATCCTCACTTAAGCTAGAAAATTGAGTTAAAACCTATGCAGATACTGCCACTCAAACCAAAATTTATTTTCGAACTAATATAAAAGGCTACATCAAAAGCCAAAACCCTAGTGCTAGTAATTTGTTTACAAATTTAAAAGTAAATAAATGAGCATGTAATGGAGTTAAATTTAAAGACCAGGGAAAAAAATAGGAAATGAGGAAGATCGTTGTCATTTTGAATTTTATAAAATTACACCATGTCATTTGAATCGTTGTCCTTTTAATTTTTTTTTTTTCATATTTCACTTTATTTAATATGTTTCATTTTTATTTTTTCTATTTCTTTTTAATTAGCTAATGTGTTGGAATAATTTTTTTTTTTAGTATTTATTAATTGATTATGTTGTTAATTTTTTTTTATTATATCATAAAGGTAAAGTCTTATTACAAGTAAAAAGAAAGAGGGAGACTTGACTTGAAATTAGACCTTTGATGTTCTCTCAAACACCTTTAACTATTAGACTAAAGGTTCGAAGACGTTGTTGTTAACTTATTCCTTATGTTAAAATTTTTGAACTCTTTAAACATAAAAAAATTAAAGTATTTTGTATCTAAAAATTTGTGTGGAATTTATTATTATTATAATTATTATTTGTGTTTATTGATTTTGTAGCTAGTGGTTTGTTTTTCTTAAACAAATAAAAATTTTAAATTTGAAACTTGTGACATTAAAAAAAAAGTCCAAATCTCTATTTTTTTTATTGATGTTTTTTAATTTTCCTATTTTTTAAAGTTATTTTTATCCATTTTTTAATTTATATTTTTTGTTTTTATTTTATTTTTCATTTGATTTTCATTTTTATTAATTTTAATTTTACAAATAGTGCACACTCTTGCCAAACTAACTTAAAGAAACAAAATAAATCAAATCAAATCAAAACTATCAAAAATATCAAAATTATAATTGGATCTTGGAACTGAATTCCCTAAGGTTAAAGTGTGAATCTTTAAAATTCAAAACGATGCTATTTTGTTTTAATATAAAAGGGTCCCTTCTTTACATTTATCATTTTATTTTCTTTATCTAGTCTCTCTTTAACTTAATCTTTCCATCCCCTCTCTTCAAGAACACCACGGTCGAAAATCCAAAATCCCAAAAATATATCATTTTCTATCGCCATCGTTGTCGTCCACCACCGCTGGCCTTTGTTCACCTTCATCGAAAAAATCTTTAAAAAATCTTAAAAATTCCTTCCGAACTTTCCAATTTTTTCTATTCACTTAAAATTTTCAAAAACTTTACCAAATCAAGTAGATCTATCATTATAGGTCACAACTTCAAAACAAAAAAAATAAAAATAAAAAATAAAAACAAATAAAATAAAAAATCTAATAAATTTATCATCGTAGGTCGCGGCTTCAAATCAAAAAAATAAAAAATAAAAACAAATAAAAAAAATAAACAAACGGAATGAAAATAATCGAGGCCTGATTATTAATATTTTGCATTAAGATAGAGAAAAAAATTAAAAAAAAACAATTTACAGTAACATGAAAATATCCACACATATATATATATATGTATGCATGTTAATAATTAGAGTGATTTGTTAAAAAAAAAAGTTTAGGATGATTATTTCCTTTAAACTTTAAAATATGTCTTGATAGTTTAAAGGATAAAAGAAATCTTTGAATAAAAATTCAATAATCATTAAAATTTTTATCATTTTATTATCATCAATTATGTTTTTATATATCTATTTTCATCGATTGAGATTTTGTTAGATAAAAATTAATTAACCATCAACATTGATTTTTGTTTAGTCAAAAATTCAATTGAGATGAAAATAAATATTTAAGGGTTAAACTTATTTAAAATAAAAAATTCAGAGTTTCTCGATTGCAATAAAATGTTAAACATTTAAATGATTATTAAATTTTTATTCAAAAACTTTTTTACCTTTTTTACCGTAACTAAATGATAATAAGTCTTAATTTTGAAACTAGAAATGGATTTAATTTTTTATATCAATCACGCATGAAAACACTTACTAACAATGAGGTCTAAAAAGAAGAATGCATGGTTTATTTACATTTTTTTTTGGAAGTTTTATACAAGTTTTGATTTGGGGTAAATATTATAAATCATAGTCTGCATAAGAATCACATTCCTAGGCTTTGCTTTGAGTTCCTGGGAGAATTTCCAAATTCAAACATTTACAGACTTAGAATAAACTAGATCCAATTAATTCCTTTTTTTTTTTTTTACAAATAACAATTCAAATATAATAAACTCATTCACAATGAATAAGAAATAAAAACTACTTATAACAAACCAAACATCCAACAGGGAGAGAAATGCAAAGCAATACGGGAAACAAAAAAAAAAAAAGGGTTCTACTGAGAGCAGAAGTACCTATATTATCATGACACTACACAAAAAAAAAAAAATCTGACAAGATTGGAAGATTGTGCATAAAAGGGACCCACCTTGATTGGAGAAAAGTCATAGAAGAAGAAAACTCCAGGATGAGAATTAGGGTGAATGAACTCCAAATTCTTGAAATGCTGCGTCACAGAATACTGTGCAATAGGAATGCTGGCAAATTTTAGAACATGGTCCAATAAATATGATAAAACAATGTGATTCCGAGGCTTTGCTAAATAAGAAGGATGAAAAACTTGATAATCCAATGATTAAAATTTATAACCACTTTCTAACATTATAACTTAACCATTAAATTAACAAATCTTCTCTCGTTTTACAAAGCAAAGCCTTATCCTCAATATGTCAACTGTCAAGCAATACCTGATTAGAGTGAACAGTGTGGCCTCTGATGTCAGTATATATTGTGGGGACCACCTGTAAAATTAAACAAGATATCTGTTCAGAAGTCCACATAGGCGGTTAGGCACTCATGCAAAACTCAAACCACATGGCTTTGGCTGTGTACTCAGAGAGAGAGAGAGAGAGAGAGAGAGAGGGTGGTCCACATAATCCATCTATTTTTTTTCTTTTTCAAAGAAAAAAATGAGAGCAGTTAAAATATGTTCTAGGTAGAGTCCACCATTTTTTGTGCACATCAAAATAAACTATCCCAACCCACCACCACAGCTAAGAAAAAAGCTAAAACCACAGGAACATTTATCTGTCACTTAAAAGAGTTCAAAGACAAGGAACATTGGTAGATACTTATACAATACCAACCTTGATGAAATACTGGTACATACCATTTGAGGTTTCATGTATCCACTGTGCCCTGAAAATAGCAATATGAAACAACCATAAAAATTTTCAGTACTTGGATCCTGTTTCACTTCCAGTTTGAAAATAAACAAGAGCCTTTAAAAGGTGTGAGTAATCATGTCGAAGAAAAAGACGGAACAAATTACCCATCAAGAGGATTTACCACACCAGGGAAGTATTCACCAAAAGCTAACCTATTAATTCTGTGACTTATCTGTACCGAACACCAGAAATATAAACCATCATTACCATTTGAAATTCAAATCAAAAGTAAAGCACAAAAAAATATATACAAATATTAACATATAATAGTTTAATCACAGAAAGAACTTGGATACAATGATATGCCTCACGTTATAACTGTCCTTCTGGAAAGCTAGCAAGTCATCAAGAAAGATATTTGAATGATGAAAGCTTTTCCCTGGTGCAAAATGAAAATTTCCAGCAACCCTATTAACTTCAAGAGATCCATGAATATTGCATCCTTCACCATCCTCATCTTTTATCCTTTGGATAAAGCCTTCTCTTTTGCACTGGAAAACTAAAAAAGAATGTAAAAAGAGCAGAGACAATATAAAGCAAAAAAGTAGGATTTGCCTTCCAAGTTAGGCAGCAAGGGATGAAAATTTTACAGAATATAAAGATCCCATTAAATCTCAGCACATGCAGCATATAAATATCCAGCAGTGCCAAGAAAATACTTGAGAAAAGAACATGCAAAGAAACCTGGTCAATCAAGTCTGTATTAGTCATTGCCCACCCTTTTCACCGATATGCCTCACAAACCTCTTCACATGAGTTACAACAGTCATTATCTGACTGCAACATAGAGAGGGAAAAGAGAAAACCTTTCATAAGTGGCATACACAAACAATCAAATAATTAGCTAAGATGCTACATATAAGATAAGCATTCCAATTAAGTTTGCATACCATCATTGACATTATTTAATCAGTCAATTCCACAATAAACCAATGGTAAAATTTTCAAATTGCTTAGTCACATAACTAGTATTTATTTCTTTATCAATTTTGTTGAGAGCACTAATATGTCTTCAAGCATCATACTTTCTTAAGGCATAAGCAATCTATTGGAGCGATTTTGGTTCCAATTCAAATTTCTTTAAGAGGATTGAGCCACTCTCTACTGCCAACATTTTAAATTCCAATGCTGCCAAGCTAAAAATTTAGAACC